TTGAATCCCTCTTGATTTTAAATATCCATTTACAACCAATGGGTTTGATACCTTCAGGCAATGAGACTATCTCCCAAACGTCATTGTCACTCATAGACTTCATCTCATCTTTCATGGCATTAATCCATTCTTGAGAGTTAGAACTTTCCATGGCTTGACGGAAGTTGATTGGATCATCTTCCGCAAAACCAACACCCGATTCTTGTTCTTGGAGGAAGACAATTATTTCTTCCACCAATTCCCAATTTTCCTCATGTTCTAGGAGATACAATATAATCATCCGGAATTGCGCTTCTCCTCTCTCGAGTGGATCTCCTTAATGGCACCTCAGGTTCTTGAGGTTGTTGAGTTTGATCCTCATTAACAAATTCAGGTACTTGATTGGGGATGTTTTCGAGATTGTCATGAACTGGAGTTGTTTCTTGAACATCATTAGGAATAAACATATCTTGATCATGTTCAATGACAACTGAAGGAAGAGTAACATGTTCTTCCTCAAAGACAAAATCTTTAACCTTATCTCCCCACCCCCCAAACTCAATATCCTCAAAGAACCGGGCATTACCCGTCTCAAAAATAGTCCTGATAGTGGGATCATAAAATTTATACCCCCTTGACCTCTAAGAGTATCCTACAAAATAGCTACTAACTGTTCTTGAGTCCAGTTTCTTTTCATTTGGCCTATAAGGCCTTGCCTCAGCTGGACAACCCCAAACATGGAAATGATTTATACTGGATTTCTTTCCAGTCCAAATTTCATAAGGGGTTTTAGTTGTAGCTTTAGTGGGAACTCTGTTAAGTATGTAAGCTGCAGTTTTCAGTGCCTCTCCCCAGAGTGAATCGGGTAAAGTAGTATGACAAATCATACTCCTAACCATGTCCTTCAATGTACGGTTTCGTCTCTCAGCAACACCATTCATGCTAGGAGTTCCTGGCATGGTGTACTGAGGAACAATTCCACACTCCTCTAGGTATTTAGCAAATGGCCCTGGACGTTGTTCACCGGAACCATCATATCTACCATAGTATTCACCACCACGGTCAGATCTAACGGTTTTTATTCTTTTGCCTAATTGATTTTCAACTTCGGCCTTATAAGATTTGAACACGTCTATTGATTGAGACTTTTCATGAATGAGATAAAGGTAACCATAACGAGAGTAATCATCTATGAATGTGATAAAATATGTTTGGCCATTTCTACATGGTGTAGGGAATGGTCCACAAATGTCCGTATATATCAATTCTAATAGATCTGAAGCTCTCTCGGCACCTAACCTCCGTTTGTTCGTTTGTTTTCCCTTAACGCACTCAACACAAATATCAGAATTTGAGGAGTCAAGAGAATCAAGAATTCCATCTGACACAAGTCTCTGAATTCTTTCTTTAGAAATATGTCCTAGACGCTTGTGCCAAAGTGAAAATGAATTCTCATTGGTTAATTTTCTTTTAGTACCACGAGTACTTACATGCAAGGTTTCATTATATGAGGTATTTATATCAAGTGAATATAGATTATCATAAACTGATAAAAGACCAGTACCATTAAGTTTTGAATCTTGAAATAGACTGAACTGACTATTTCCAAATGAACAAGAATAACCAAATTTGTCCAATGCAGAAATAGAAATTAAATTCCGCCTAAATGACGGCACAACAAATGTCTCTTTCATATCCAAATAAAAACCAGTCTTTAATAATAATCTAAAAACACCGATAGCCTCAACTTCAACCCGCTTGCCATCACCGACATAGATGTATCTTTCACCATCAATTGGTTTTCGGCAGCTCAGGCAACCCTGCATAGATACACTTATGTGAGTAGTAGCACCGGAATCTACCCACCAAGTGTCTTTTGGTACCGAAATTAAATTAACCTCAGAACAAACAAGAGCAAGAGACATACCCTTTTTCGCACGCCAAGCATGGTACTTAGTGCAGTTCTTTTTCTTGTGATTAGTCCCTTTGCAAAAGAAGCATCCAGATTCCTTAGTTTCTTCCTTAGTTTCCTTGTGATGCTTCCTGGGAGGCCCCGAATTTGCAGCTTCCTTAATTTTTCTTTTATTGCTGCCCTTAGAGGTAGATGCCAAATGAGCACTTTCTGTCTTATCTTGCTTTATTCTCTCTTCCTCTTGAACACAATGAGAAATGAGCTCATTCAGAGACCATTCCTCCTTAATGCAGTTGTAAATGACTTTAAATTGATTAAATTGAGAAGGAGGAGAGATCAAAACTAAATACACAAGCAATTCCTCAGGTAAAATAAGCTTTAGTGCACTTAGTTTTGAAGCAATATGAGACATTTCCAAAATGTACTTCCTTATGTTCCCTTTTCCTTTATACTTCATGGAAATAAGAGTGCTCAAAAGAGTACTAGTTTACGCCTTTTCGTTTTTAGCAAAACGCTTTTCAAGTTCGGCAAGGAATGATTTGGCATCGGCCTCATCAGACATTGTGCCCCTGAATGATTCTGGAATTGCATGTTTCATGATCATTAGACTCATGCGGTTTGAGCGTTCCTACCTCTCCATCTCCCTCTTTTCATCGAGGGTAGATGTGTCCTTAAGAGCGGCGGGTTTCTCAGTCCGAAGTGCAAGGTCTAGATCCATGCAACCGAGAACGATCATGACATTCTCTTTCCATTCCTTAAAATTCGTGCCGTTAAGCACTGGGATGCTATTAATATTAGCAGATATTGTAGCAGCAGAATTGTTGACTGAAAGAGAACAAAAATAATATAAATGATATGCTCTAGGAATTGAAATTAATTTTTATAATTAATTTTAAATTTAAATATTAGCAATCCCCATCACAAGATACCTAGCGCAACATCTAATCTTGTCTTTGGACATAAATTAGACTTGCAAGTGGTACTCTTGGTGTGATAATAAAATTTTGATAATAAAATCTTGTCAAATATTAAGCCTTTCTTTGGACCGACTTAATATTCACACGAAAAAACTTCATAATCATCACAAATTTTATTATCACAAATGTACTTAAATTTCGGCCAAATAATAACCTTCCTTTGGGCCGATTATTATCTGCATGAAATAAGAAAGTACACAATCATCTTAATATATGAGTTGATTAATTTCAACAAGAGAGGCTACTTTGGCAGCATGTTGCGTCAATTAATCAACCCAAATATTAGACATGCTAATATTAAATCAACAATCTGAAAATAAAATTGGGCGAATTTTTCTGAATCACATGCAAATGTGTTATGTGTAACGAAATTTGTAAAACCTGTACCCAATCTTTATGTGATCACAAATTAGGGTTTATACATCCATAACACATAATACATTTTTAAACTGTAAATCATGATCACCAATAAAAGTAATTTATTTCCAAATATGCAATTCTAATGGAACTGATTTTGCCCGTAATCACATATAAGTATTTAATTACCAAATCGATAATCACATAAATGCACTTAATATATTACTAAAGCCATAAAATTCCAAAATTAAATTACCGAAAAATGAAGCATATCAAAATTTAATTTGATATAGGTATTCTCGGCTAAAGGCCTAATCGTTTTAAAACAAAATCGATTCCAAATCCAAAACAAATAAGCTAAAGGCTTGATTCCTTAAAGAAAGAAACTGAAATTATGATTAGTTATGAATCAATTCAGCCACATCCAAAATAATAATTGACTATTGAATCTATTTTCCAGAAAATCGATGATGTAACCCAAAAAAAAACTATTCAATCGCATGATTGATTGATCCCAAAACAAAACCCAGAAAAATAACAATTCGACAATTACGAAATATGTACAATTCCACTACAACATCAATTGCCGAATTATTGTATAAATCTAACTCTGCGATTGACCCGATTCCATGCAGGTAGTGGCATTAGAAACATAATAATAATAAAAAAAAATACAAATCGCAGTATCCCATCATAACGTGCGAAACTGCTTTGCTTAAAGAAGAATGAATCAAAAGACAAAACGAAACCCAAGTATGCTGCCCCCCAAGTATGCTGCCGCAAATCAAATCGGCAGCCATACAAGAAAATTTCGATTTCCATTTAATCATCAACTGACTCCAAATAATTCAATATGAAGGTGGCTCTGATACCAATTGTTGGAATAAATCCGATAATACTTTAATCTTCATATTGAAATTATCTAGAGAATTAACTGAGCGGAAGCGTACCTGACTCCATCGGAGATGATCTTTAGGGATCCGGGAGACAGAGGCTAGGGTTTGCGTCTTCTAGCTGATACACACCCTCGGGATTATCTCTCTAGCGATGGGATGCAGAAAGACAGAATGACGTGTACAACTAGGGACCATAACCCCTTATTTATAGAGTGCTTAACCCTAATCAGCCCATCATTGATTAGGTCAAGCCCATGTGTCTCTACACATTTGGGCCCTATACCTTATTAGATAACTTATTAGCCCACTTAAATTAATATCCATAGGACCACTAATTTTTGGGCCTAAATATAAGATAACATATAACATACAATTAAACCCGATAAATAATATATTGTGAATATTACATGTAGTATAAGTCCAATAATCTAACACTTAAATCATTAATTGAGGTCAACACATTTTCTCCGTTTGTTTATTTTTTACCACGTAAAATTTAGGGGTGAGCATATCGGTTTGGTTTAACTGAACCGAACCGTACTGTACCAAACCGAACCATATGCAATTTGGTTTGAGTTTGGTTGTATTTCTTCCAAACCGTATTAAACCGAACCAAACTAAGAAATTCAATAAAACCTTCATATGTTATTGAAAAATAACAAATCCAAACCAAACCAAACCGAAAAATAATTGTTTCAATCCGTTCCAAACCGAAATTGATAAAAACCGAACTGAAAACTGATATGCCCACCCCTAGTAAAATTTATAACCAAGGTTCAGCTCAACTCAACAAATGAAGCATTAGATTCTATCTTACCAGTTGGTACCCTTCCAACCCATCCCAGACCAAGAAGCTTATTCCAGTTTTTTTCATTTTAGGAGGCTCCGCAAGTCATTGGTGATTGGATAGAGGATAATCAATTAAAATATGGCGGATTTGAAATTTCTTGGAATGGACTTTAGCTGTGCCTTTGGATCTCTTAGCAAAGGCGAGTTCCCAGAAAAGGACTGTTTGCTCCCATTAATATCAAAATTCCTGGGATATGCAATCGTGGCTGCTTCCACTACCGTCAAGCTTCCTCAGGTACTCTTTACTCCTAAATGACTCATAGTATGTATCCAATTAACCGCTATTGCAGATGTGTGTTTCCCCGAACTCCTAAGTATCTTAAATAAGTAAAAAGGGATTACATTCAAGGTGGTATTCATCTGCAGATATTACAAATATGCAATTTAATGTGTAAGGCCTGGAATCTATTCCCTGCTTGATGACGTTAATATTTTAGTATGAAACTCAAACGCAATATTAGAGCTTGTTACCCTCAAACAAGCAATATGAACCGACTAAGACTAATCAAGAGAACACATAATTTGAGATTGATCTGCTCTAATAAGCCACCATCCGGATATGTTTAACCATCACAAACTGTTCAAATATGTACCAACCTCATATGCAATACCTTGAGCTACTTCTTCTATGAATTTGACCTTAGGATGAAATCAGTTTGATTTTGAGCTGAAATATGAGTACTTTAGTGGCCATCCAGCTAGTTATTGAGGAGTTGTGAGTAATGGATACACTCGAACCATTTTGGTTCTTAAGCGTGGAAGGATTCGATCAAAAATTCTCTTGCATTTTCTGCATATTCATTAGTTGAGAAATATGATAAGCTTACTGTACATGTTTGTTCAAAAAAAGTGGGCTCTTTGAGCTGTAGTTTCTGTGCAAGAATGAGATAGAAAATATTAAAAGAATGCTTGTGTATGCACGGGTTGTAGCTTAGTATTGTATATTTGTATTGCTGTTCTTTCAGCAGAAAAATGGTTGTATTTTTTTGTCGTGCATAATGGTTGTATTATATTTATCTGTATCTGTTACTCCGTAGTACTTTGGTAAGATAAGTGACTAACTTGTGCAATTCTCAATGTTTAGATATTAAAGATTTTGAAACACAAAAGTGTTAGAGGGCTCAGTGTTGTAGCCTTTGAACTTGAAGTAGTTGGTTATACCATTGCACTGGCATATTGTCTTCATAAAGGGCTTCCTTTTTCAGCTTTTGGAGAGTATGCATTTCTTTTGATCCAAGGTACATTCTGTACAATGACATTTGAAAATCTTTAGCGAGTATATATTGGCCAAGATGTGTTCTATGTAATAATTTCCAAATCAGCCTTTACCTTGTGGTATTAGAAACTCGCACCCTCTCAAGTTGGGGAGCTGCCAGCCTTTCTACTTTTCTTTCTTAAGGGCCTGTTTGGTTCCCGCGAAGGGCTAGGTAATGGAGAAAAGTGCAAAGTAAAGTTTTTTATTTATAATTATGTTTTGCTTTCTCTGAAATGGAAAGGAAGATGATTGAAACTTTTTATAATAAAAATGAATATATAAAATGAGTTTGTACAAATATTGCTGTGACATTATTGAGTTTGAGCTTATTTTTTATTCCCCCCTATTTTTTCTTTCCTTCCACTTTTCCTTTCTTCTTCTCCTAGTATTTTCAGGTTTCAAACGGACCCTGAATTTATGTATGAAATGATTTTTTTGCACTAAATTCATGATCTTTTGCTTTGATGCAGCACTAATCTTAGTTGCAACCATCTACTACTTTTCTCAACCTTTGGGCACAAAGACATGGATGAGAGCATTATTGTATCCTACTTGCGTACAATGTTGAATGTTGTGTAATTTGATTAGTTGAGCTTCCAAATTAGTCCTTAATAGGGATCAGTGCTTCATTTCCTCACAATTAATACAGATACTGCGGTATTGCGCCAACTATTTTAGCAGGCAAGATTGATCCCATGCTGTTTGAGGCTCTTTATGTAAGTTGTGGCTCATTGTGTGTCATGTGTAGAAAATACATCGTATTCCCCTTTTCTCCTTTAATTCCTGCATTATTGTATTATTTGATGCATCACACTCAAAATCTAATTTTTCCTGTTTATGAATTGAATATACCTTTATCTTGACAACTTGAAACTCACGCCGCTATCAAACAATGCTCCAGGCTTCCCAACATGCAGTATTTCTTTTTGCAAGAATTCCACAGATATGGGAGAACTTTAAGGTAGGTATGCTGACATAGTGACATGTTCACCTTAAAAACTATTTTTACTGAAAGTCAGGAAGGTAATGAATAAACTTTATACTCAATGAAAGAATGATTTTCATTTATTCACTGTCTATTTGGTTGATAACATTATATGCATTTCTACCATGAGAGTTCTTGAGAATGAGTTTTTGATGATAGAACAAGAGTACGGGAGAGTTGAGCTTCTTAACCTTTTTTATGAACTTTGGAGGTTCAATGGGTAAGTTTCATTGGCAGTGCTGTGTTATAATTAATTATTTTAAGTGTAACACATCTCAACCCTTTTTCATACTTTTATCTGGCAGTCAGAGTATTTACAAGCATCCAAGAAAAGGCTCCAACAAGTGGTACCCTTTCTCCCCATTTCAAGTAGGCTTAAATGTTACTCCCTCCGTTCTTTTTTAGTTGCAACAGTCAACATTTCACATTTGCCAACGCACGTCTTTGACCGTAATTATATCTTAATTCTATTAGTAAATAAATATTAAAAATCAGATTTTGAAAATTTGTAATGAGATGAATTGAACAATATTTTTTTAAAAATAACTTTCATAAAATAATAGCGTAAAATGTAGTCAAAGTAGAGCATGTGAATAGTGTAAAATTTAACATGTTGCAATTAAAACGGAACGGAGGATAGTATTTTTTTAAGCAAATGATTAAATGTTTGTAGTCCCTGTAAATATAGCATTTCTCGTTATAGATCCTTTCATTTTTAGTTCACCTCTGCAAATTATGTTTCTTTTAGTCTCTCTCCAACTCTTGGGTTACCAATGTTTTAATAGAAAATAATGTGGGTAGTTTGCATAAATCCTTTCCAAACTTTTCATGTCAGCCAGCTATTAAGGGTAAACAAACCAAATGACTCATGCTTTCAATCTCTTTATAGTTCTCTACGAATAAAATAGTTTTTTTTAATTGAAATCACTTGAAAAGAAATGATTGAAGTCATGTCTGTCATGCTAATTTTGTTCTAAAGCGAAGGCTGTTGGAGGGTTGAAGGGGAACCAAAAGCCACAGTAGTAAAAATTGCGGGATGAATGGTCAAAAGTATTATGGAAGGAGTCTAAATCAGCAAGTTGTATATTTACAGGACTAGAACCATATTTAACCTTTTCTATTGCCTATTGTTGTTCATTTCTTTATCTATGCATATTTATACTACCAAAAAGATAAGTTCTTTTTGACAGTTGCCATGGGTTCCGTGCTTGGTGTATTGATGAATGGGACCATCTTGAGCCAGATTATCATGTATCAGAAGCCCATTCCAAAGGAGAAGAAGAGAGATTAGGATTTATAGCTTTCACCCGCAGATCAAATGCATGTATTGTACTAACATTGTATCCCCTGATCAAACTCCTGCATAGTTGGTTATCATTGCCTAAAAATTCTACCTTAGACTGATCACAATGTGGGGTGGGAGTTATTTTTCTTCTAAAAGTTCCAAGTACGGTTTGATTAATGACCAAAACATAAATTTCAGGGTTCAAACTAAAATCTATCGTGCAGATTTATACAGCTGTGTGATTTTGTGCGATTAAGGCGGGCAATTGTATACACGCAGCTTGAGTTTATATGGAGAAATAATCACTATTCTGTGCCACAAGTACACGACATTGAAGAAGTTGCCTTGTATGCCATCTTGAGTTTATATGTGGCCATTTTTTAAGAAAAATTACCACCTCACCTGTTTGTAAAAGAGTTTGCCTTCGGACTAGGGATGGACTCGGGCCGGTGGCCTGACCCGGGACCGGTACTATTCCGGCCCGGCCCGACCCGGTGGCCCGGTCATTTTTTTTCAATTTTTTTTAAATTTTCGGGTTGGGCTGGGTATTTTGGGCCATTTGGGGTGGTTTGGGGGGTTGGGGGTGGGAGGGGGGTTGATTAGGAAGAGGAAAACAAAACAAAAATGATAATGGGCCTGGCCCGGACCGGCCCGGACCCGGACCGGACCCGGTGGTTACCCGGGCCGGTCCCGGGTCCACCATTTTTGAATCGCCGGCCTGACCGGGCCTAGGCCCGACCCGGACCCGGCCCGGACCCGAATCCATCCCTACTTCGGACCCCAAGGGTGATAAAGGATTTACAAAAACAGGGTGATTTTGTGAAGAAATGAAACACAAACAGGGTGATTTACCATTTTTGCTCCCAATCACTATTACATTTTCCAAACTTTTCCTAAGGCTATTAGTGTATCCGAGCTAGGGTTGGACCCGGGCCGGGCCCGGTAGGGCCGGCGGTTCTATATAGTTGGACCCGGGACCGGCCCGGGTAGCCACCGGGTCCGGTCCGGGTCCGGGTTGGGCCGGGCCTTGGGTTTGGTTATTATTTTTTTTTTTTTTGCTTAACTACCCATCCCTGACCCCGCCCCTCACCCCCACCCCCAAACCCCTCCTAAACATCAAGCCTAACTCGGTGGAGCCCAAACAAATGAAAAAAACCAAAAAAATAAATAAATTTGGTCCGAACCGGAGTAATACTTGTTATTATACTAAACCCATAACCCTGTTCCTTCCCCCAAACCCCTCCTAATATTTATAATTTTCATAACACATTCACCATTTATTTTTTTACTCATATTTATATCAATATGTCTATTTATATTAATGACGTAATAGAATTAATGACGTAATACTCCTGTTCCAGCCTGCCGAACAACACGAACACCCATAACCTTAGCCCTGATACTGGTTGAAGCAGCTCCGGCGGTCTTATTGGTCGAAGCCCGTCCCTTCCCCGTTTTTTGTCCCATCAAGCGCCATGCTATCTTCCACGAGCTTGTCCTCTCCCCCGGAGTCCCATAACCGTCTTCATTTTTGTTCCCCCGATGCCTCCTCCTTTGTTTCAATCTCCACACCTTTAGTTGTGCTCTGCGCTGTTTCTAAAATAGATTCCTTCCCCACTCCACCCATTCTACCATCAGACTTATTATCCCCCGTATTTCTACGGTCTCTACCAGAGCTCGATGAACCGTCGACCAACCATTTGCTTCCTCTCGTGGGACTAGCCTTCACCCCGCTACCCGCTCTAAGTTGGACCCCAAAATTCCTTTCCAGAACTAGATCCTCTTCATAAGTCAGAGGACAACATTTATCTGAATGCTCAATTAATCCGCAGATAAAGCAGAAATTGGGCAACTTTTCATACTTAAAGTCCACACAAAAACTCCTTCCTTCTTTCTTATGATTTGTACCCTTTTTCAACGGTTTTTCCACATTCAAACTCACCCTGATTCTCATATAATATTCTCACTTCTCATTATGCTGATTATCATCATATCTTATAAATTTTCCAATTAGTTTCCAACCCGACTGGGAGTACCTAAATTCACTAGACTGTAGGGTGCATTATGAACTTGAATCGAAAACTCAGCCTCATTTAAAACAATTTTATGCGGAATATCATCTGGCTTAAGTGCCTTCAAGATCAACAAATTACGCTCAAATTGTCAAGGCTCAAATTTTTCCACACATTTCATATCAACACGTGATAAAAAGTAAAAAGGTTGGGAATCTGACCTTCATATATGTCACCAAGACTCCCACAACCGGAAACCCCGGAATGCTCTCCTCTGTCAGCACGTCCTCAATATCAACTTCAAGGTCCAGTTCTTCGTCCTCAGTCCTTACCCTCCTTTCGAAAGGTCGCCGTTGCACTGATTCTGCCGAATTGGGATTGAGATCAGAACTGCCAAACCTCACAAACCAGCCGCCGCCAATCTGAACCTCGAATCCCCGATCCCAAACGCACTCCTTGAAACGCCTTCTTCTGAAGCCAAGCTGCCAAGGACAATAGACGAGAATCCACAAAATAGACCGGAGAGACCCCAGGCCCCAGGCCCGCCCCTCGGCTATGCCGATGCGGACAGAAACTAAGCTAAGTGGCTACCCTGTGGTAACCCTTTTTTCTTTACTCTATTAATAAAATATATTTTAAATATAATTTTTTTCATAAATTAGCAAAATCAACAATTCAGCAAGAAATTCATCCATTTCAACATAATTAATCGATTCAGTCAATTTAAATGTCACCAAATGAGCTCTTTATATATGTAATAATGACCACAACAAACGAGTATAGATTGTTACTTTGTTTTGGAGCATATGACCATGCTAATTTAATCGTTCGCTACCTTCCCTTCAACTAATTGATTTTATATGCTCACCAAATATTATCATTTCAATGGTTTGATTTTAAATTCCAATCGATGTATATGATTCGCGCCGCACAGATGCAAGGTGTAAGAGAGATTATAAGAAATACTTCTCTTCCATACTTATTCTTATTCTTATTCTTATTCTTATTACTTACTTGTTGCTTATTCTTATTTTATTTAGATCACATCAAATCAAATCAGATAGAAAAGATTTAGATCAGATCAGATTAGAAAGTTTCAGATCAGGTCAGAAATATTCTGATCGAATCAGAAACATTCAAATTTGATCAAATCAGAAACATTCAAACATGATTTATCACTTCTATAAATATAATAATTATATAATAATAATAATAATAATAATAATAATAATAACCATAGTAACAATATCATTATTATTATTATGATTATAAATATAATTATATTTAAATTATATTTATGAATACAATTATAATTATAATTATAATAATTATAATCGTAATTATAAATATAGAAATATTCAAATCAGATCAGAAAGATTCAGATCAGATATGAAAGATTCAGATCAAATAAGAAAGATTCAGATCAGATCAGAACTTAAAAAATTCAGATCAGAGATATTCAGTGAAGAGAACAACTTCTAAATCGGTATATTTTTCTTTTCAAATTCCTACTCATTAATTACAAATTCTATTTCAAGGCTCTCAATATAGAGAGCTCTTTTTATATATAATGATCTCATACTACCTCCATTTCGAAAAGATTCCTCACATTGATTTTTTTTGTCCACAAATTTTGGACAAATCAACTAATCATGATTAGGATTAGGAAGTTGATTTTGATTCTTGTTCGGTTCTTCAAGTCTTAATTAGAGGAGCAGATTAGGAAGGACCCAACATCCAAGCACTCAAAAGATAAAAAGTTGCAAACGTGTATGGTTAGACTGCGTTTGGCGGTCAAGATTTGATCGTCAGTCTTCCATATGTATTTTTTCTTAAAGCAAAGAGTAGCACCACACAATATTCTAAGATGTGCGTGTTAGGCGGTAATTGGTGGAAGAGAAACAATTCTCTTCAAAATGTCAAAATGATTCTAATGACATGCCAGAGTAGTTCAAATGGAACCTTAAAATCCCTTTTTATGGGAGGTCTTCAGTTTAAGAATGTTTCAATTACGGGTAGATTATAATTTTCTACTTTGGTTGGTCTTGTTAACTATGATCTGATCTAATATATGTGTATTTTCTTTAGTATAAAAATACTTAGTATAGCATTCATTTTGTAGCACCATAAAAATTGCTACGGTAAAATGATAAATTGCTACAATTCATCTATTGTAACACCAGTCGAATACAACATACTAAAGCTGCTGCATTTGATATATTGTGACATTTTCCATATGCTACAAAATTTATACTTTATTGTAGTATAGTGTTTATAATTATCGAAGCTTGATTTAATATGATCTGGTTTGATGTGAGACTAAAATCGGTGGGATTGATAACATGTTAAGTCCTCACAAAATGATGAATGATTAGTAATCACCCAAATAGAGAAGCAAAAGTAAATTTTTAGAGAGAGCTGCAATCAATTCATCACTATAATGGTAGTACATCCAAGTATTTCGTAATACCCTTGGACAACAATTGGGAAAGGAGTACGTACTTACAGTAGTAAATATCCTTGCTTAATACATGTAAATGTGAGCATGAGGAAAGAATGATGTAAGACCTATGACTTCAGCATAGGGTGGTGTGACGTCATCAAGCACCTCCGGGTTAAGGGATGATACGTGATCATATATACCTTACGCGTAGTGAAAAGTTTCAATGACTTAAACCGACACTAGTTTATTTGTGGCGGCTGGCTTTCAGAAGCACCAAATAAGCTGGATCACAACAGTAAGTAGTTAGTATATACTCCCTCTGTCCCATTTTACTTAGCTAAATTTGACTTTTCAAGTCAATGACGTCTGACTGTGACCGATTATATGTTTATATAGAGAAATTATTAATACGTTGTTTTTATTTCTTAACCATGAGGTAGCTAGAGGGTGTTCATGCTGTGCTTCATGCATGGGTTTGAACTATCAAGTTTAGGTTATTACTTTTAAGTAGTTAATTAATTGTTTGTTGTAATTTGATTTGAATTCTATCCTTTCCGTTAGTTTCATTTCGGGAAGTAATTAGTCATTTATTTATACTCACAAGTGCAGTGACATGCTTTAACAAAATGAGCTTCATGTTCGAGTGATGGTCAACCGGACGTACTTTTCAATATCTAATCCATAGATGTTAGTTCCTCATTGGTACTCTTGTGTCACAGATGTATCTTTCTATGCAATCACAATGTTCTCCTTGTGATTTAATAAACGTTGTTTCTCGTGATAAAAAAGGTGTAATCTCCCACCCCGACTCGACAAGACACGTGGAAGGATGTAAATCATGGTGACTCCGTCAGCGAAGTGGCGTGACAGTAGACCCATATATCCGTGCGCGCCAGAGATCCAGCCCATTTCAAACGTTGTATCCTCCACACGGTCGTTGCGGGATTCGAACTTTGATCTCTTGTTCTAAATTTCCATCACTCAACCAACTGAGCTACCCGTGCAAGTAATAATCGTTGTTTCTCATTTAAATAGTATGTTGTCAAATCCTTTTTAGGCTTAAAAATGGAATATGTTCATTTTACTTTAGGAAATGAGACCATAAGTGAGATTGGAATGTGTCTTTGGTGGAAAGAAGCACCAAAGTCCAAAGAGTGCCCAAAAATGGTACCGGACTTTTTTGAAAAATAGTACGTACATGCCTGCAACCGTCGTCGTTGATCATTTCTTTCTGTTTTAAGGAGTGAAAAATCAACCATGCTTGATGTACACCCCCTTATACACGTCTTATACACATCATGTTTGTGAAGTTTTTTTTGTCTGTGAACCCGGTTCACAGACAATATTTTGTTTGTGCAAAATATTTTCTGTGCATCAATGTTCACAGACAAAAAAAAAAACTTTCACAGACATAGGTGTGTACAAAAGTGTGTATAAGAGTGTGTACAAACATCATTTTTGGTGAAAAATTACATCATGCATTACCAAAATTCATGTATACTCATATACGGAAAGTGAGGAATTTGTGTGTTTCGTTGAAGGAAATAGGGAGAAGGGGAGGAAAGTGGAAGACTTTCAAAATTCTCTACTTCCTCCCATTCTAATTTCTAAATCCTCCGGGGTATTTCGGAGGAAACGTGTCAATAACCACAAACTATCTATCTCCTACGTGAATGAATAAAACGTTATAGTATAAAAAGGTAAAAAAAACAAAAAGTTTTGAAAATTTTAAAATTTTAAAAATTTAAAAATTTAAAAATTTAAAAATTTAAAAATTTAAAAATTTAAAAATTTAAAAATTTAAAAATTTAAAAATTTAAAAATTTAAAAATTTAAAAATTTAAAAATTTAAAAATTTAAAAATTTAAAAATTTAAAAATTTAAGATTAAAAAATATAAAATTAAAAAATTAAAAAATTTAAAATTTAAAAAATAAAAATTAAAAATTTTAAAATAAAAAATAAAAAGTTTTAAAAAATAAAAATTAAAAATTAAAAATTCCAAACTGAAAAATGAAAAATTATAAAATTAAAACAGTAAAAAATCAAATAAAATAAAATTATGACTCGTGACCATAGGAGTAATATTCACAATAGTAAGACATGTATCTATTTTTTAAGTAAGCTATCAAATAAAAGTAAATTGTGAAAATATTTTCATTAAACCTTTCGTATTATTTCCTCCGACAAAACACAAAATTTTATCAAAATCCTTCATTCCCCTTCCCTTCCCTCCTTGACTCTCCTCTTCCCTCCCCTCCTTTGAACCAAACAAGACCTAAGGGATGTCTCCAACTTTGATTTTGAAATATTTTTAAGGATTCAGATTCTATGGATTTCAATAGAATTTGAATTATATTTCAATGAACAAACGCATATGGATGCACAACCGCCGGCCCTCTCTTAAAGCTCTGCATCTGATGAGCTTCCCCACCCCAGAAGTGCTACAATCACCGCCCTTCGTGAAGCTTTTTTGTTGCTAAATTCGATCTGGTCGTGCTTCGCTGGATTCCTTAGAGAAGATACGCTAAGGAGGAACAACGCAGTAGGTGGCGGTGGTTCGATTGCTACGGCTTTACTCTTTCCCTTTGAAGAGGGAGGTTTGAAGAAGGTCAGCGGTATTATAGACGCCAAAAATATTGAACATGGGAGAAGAGATTTGTCGATCTGGAGGAGGATTGGCGATGAAGAATTCAGAATAGACATACATACGGGCAGGGTGGATTTCAAACCTGAGGGTGGAAATGTGGAATTGGATTAGTGTTATTTTTCATATCAATTCCGTTAAAATCATCTGAAATCCAAGAGAAACAAATCCATGAAATAATCGAGGACACTCAAATTCTAAAAAAGTTTTGAAAATCCAAGTTGATGGTACTCAGATTCTTGTGGAATTCTAAATTCCCTTCAAATCTTTTAAAATCTAGGTTGGGGACACCCCTTAAAACGTTCTTTTATTAATACTTCCAACATTTTCATTTTTGTACTACTCGCATACCCGTAATTTGATTATGATTTTTACTAATATATATAGGCAAATTATTATGTTAAAATATCATTAAATTTCTACTAATGTAAATTTCCAAAATATTAACTTTTTATACGAGTAATGTTTACTAATAAATATAATTATAGTCAAAATTATGTGTTGTCAAATGTGCAAGTCTAAGCTAAACAGGAGTCGAAGCTAAATAAAAGAGGTAGTACTTTTTCCCCATACAAGAGTCCAAGCTAAATACTCTCTGTCCCGCTAATATTGCCCCATTTTACCTTTTCGGTCCGTTCCATTAAGATTGTCACATACCAAATTTGGTAAAGTTTGTGTGGTTCTAAATCATTCTTAATTTATTATTACTTTATCAATTCAATACCAACCACATAAACCACTTTTTATTAATTTGTGTGTCACTGTCTCTTATCTCATTGTTAGTGGGACGGAGGGAGTATCTATTTCCTAACTAATACTCCGTAATAAACATTAATTTTCTACTTTTAATGTCTCTAATATAATTAATTACACTACAATTCCCTTACACAACTGGATCATTGCACTGGTGATGGTGGCAGCGGAGGTCCAACAACCGGTGACGACAGCTAGTGGCGGATGCAGCCTTGAAATTTTCGGACAACAAGCGGCCGGCTGCGGAGACAGCAAGTACTTCACAGGAACAATATGAATATTCTCGTCCAAGTTTCAAAAAACAAAAATTCCTTTTGTACACCTTCTTATACACATCAGTACATCCCGTGTCTGTGAGAGTGTTTTTTGTCTGTGAACCCCACTCCACAGACAAAAACTCGATTGTTGTGTCTGTAGAATTTTTCACAGACAAAACAAGCCAGTTTTTGTCTGTAGACTGGGATTCACAAACAAAAGTTAACTCTCACAGACACAAGAGTGTACTGATGTGTATAAGAATGTGTACACCAAGAATTGTTGTTCAAAAAATACTCCTATTTGTTTTTTTTTTAAATATACTGCTATTTTAATTTTATTATAGTTGTGTTAGTCCTGGGGAATTATTATTCTTCTTTTCTCTACAAGAACATAGTATTTGTATACACTCGAGAACATATATATATACCTGATTATCTCAATTCTCACACCACTTTTCTCACTCGGCACGCTCAATCCTTTCTCCCGAACTCCGGAGCGATATCGGATTGGACAGAGGAGATGAGCATGAAGGTGAAGAAAGGGTGGCTCGCCGTTCAAGTTGGGTCAACGGAAGAAGGAGAAGAGAAGGGAATCCAGAGATTTGTGATTCCAATTTCATACCTCTACAATCCTCTCTTGCAGAGCCTTCTAGAGAGGGCTCGCGAAGTGTACGGCTACCACGCCGACGGCCCCTTACGCCTTCCCTGCTCCGTTGACGATTTCCTCCACATTCGATGGCAGATTGAGAAGGAAGCTGCAACTTCCGCCGCCGCCAGGAACCGCCACGGCCACTACCACCACCTCCACCACCATCTACCCACTTCTTTGTCCTTTCACTCTTGTTGATGAAGATGACTAAGCTAATACTAGTATTGTCTTCTGTTACCACGGTTCTCCTTGATTTTTAACTACGATTTCCATCTTTTACCGTCGGAACGCACCTTTTGTTTTTTATTAGATCTGGGGTAATTTTAAACGGAATCGACAAGTTTTGAGCTCCTGTTTATGTGGTTCGCTTTATAATTAATTAATAATTAGTTACTTTACTAATTTATTTATACCGAAATTTCATTCGACGAATTGGAACTCGCTCAATTTGTTGCTTTCTTTGACGAAGCAAAATCAGCAAACTTCAGCTGGGAAATGTGAAGCTTCGTAATGGGGGTTAATTATACTAATTTAATGATCAAAATTGTGTTCTTAAAATTAAGTTCAGGAAGTTGCAACCAAATAAGCAAGCTCGGACAATAACTAATTTAAAGAGATAATTATACCAAAAATGTTTTTCACACAATAATCCAACAAAAATCGTATCCAAAATGTGATTGAAATATTACTCTTTAGATGTACGAGTACATCCGATTGTAGTATAGACAAGTTGGAGCAACTGTATTGTGATGGATGCTATTATTACCTAGCGACAAAAGTACAGTTATCACTGATATCAATTCTGGATGGTGGAAACGGAAATTGCTTTTGTGGTTGATCTATCCACCGGTAGTGTTATTGTTAAGTACCCGGGGCCGGTTTTGAAGGGGCAAGAGGGGCGACCGCCTTAGGCCCAAAAATATACAAGAAAAAATAGGCTCAAAAATTTTCCTTTGTATATAGTATGATTAGACTTCTTTTTTATTCTTAAGTTCCATTAATTAGGCCCAATGATTAATTTTGTTGATAATTTGAAAATTTAAAACATAAATAAAGAGTCTTAAACAAACACAAGTGTAAAATAGTATATACATTAATTTTTAGCAGTGGAGTTGTAGTTTTTAAAAGCAATACAATTGTTACTGCATAAATAAAACACACGTCTCTCTAGTCCTCACATTTTTTTTTAACTTTTAAGGTTTTTTATTAGATTTAATTAAAACATACCAAATTTATATACTAATTATTTTAGAGCCAGTTTCTCTCAAATTCACCCTAATTATTCATTTGTTTCCAAATTTCAATAAGCTATATCCGAGTCCATAATTGTAGTTTTAGAGGACGTCAAATTTGCAATCTTCTTGCGTGAGTCATTTTGGCAGCCAAACATTTTGTCTCTTTGAAAACCTTCATTCTTTTGAAACTTTAAACTTTAGACTCTAATCAGCGGTCAATAAATCATTCTCAACTTATGAAGTTAATATGTGGTAATATTTCTTTTCGTTTATCCTTTTAAAAGAAAGTTTACTGTTGTTATATGTGTCAATTTTATTGTTTATCATATTTATTAATGGAAAGAAGGTTGCCTATGGAGCAATTATTAATGATTTGCTTCACAGTGGTCTACGAGAATCTTTTTTAAGGATTGTTTTTTCTTTTTATTCGATACTCGTGTTGTTACTTTTGCCCAAATATGTGACTTATATAATAATCAAGTGATCCTCGTCTTTATTTTATGAATTTCATTGCTCAAGTATGGTTTACTGTTTATCATGGATATAAGCCCAAAATAGCGTACCGCCCATAGGCCCAGAAATGGATAGGACCGGCCCTGTAAGTGCCGAGGCTAACCGCAACCCAGCAACCGTGCACCGTCAATATATTCACTCAGCATATATATTTTTTAAATTAAATGCACTAATGCTTACTTTTTTATTACACATAATTTATGTGACAATTTCGTTTTTACAAATAATTATGATTTTAAAAATCAAACATTTCAATATAAAAATAAATAACTCTGGAGTTTAATTTTTTCCGTATAACTCCAGACCTCTTTTATACTCCCTCCGTCCCGTAAAAAACTTATTTACAACTTATTTAGAAATAAAACATAAATAAAGATGATAATAGTGATATTAAATTATTGAAATCATTCTCATACTTGTTTAGAAATTTTAAATTAAAAGTTAATTTATATTTTGGGTTAAGGACTGTAAATTATAAATTAACCCAAAAACCTAACATACTTAGGCCATCTCCAATAGTTAACACCATTTTTTACACTAAAATGGTGTAAACATCACATCAAACAGTATTTTATCTCCAACCGTTTACACCATTTTCATCACCAAAAAGGAATATTCTCTTTTTATTCTTTTTACTAACTTTTTACCATTCTTCTATTTAAGTATCTAACTATCTTATATTTATACATTAGCCCCTCATTTAATATTTTGACATTTCACACATACAAACTAAAATACATCATTTTAATATGTATTTTCACGCATTTCACTAATTAAAACACAATAATCAATATTTCACAAATACAAGCTAAAACCACATAAAATTAAACGTTACAATAATATTATAATAAATTGTACCTCATTATTAAAGTCAGTTAAGAGCGACAATGAGCAACTTATAGAGATGTTGGAGAAATCATCGTTAGATCGACAGGAACAATTGCAAATCTAGCGACAAAATATGGCATACAAGAAACAAGAAAAAAGAAGATAAAATTATGTTCTTGGATTTGAATTCTATTCATGATCCACAAACGAGAGCGTATATCATTGCAGAAAGATAAAAAAATTTACAAAAAAATCTCAAGAAGGAAGATCATCAGTTGGATTTGGGAATCTATTTGATGGGTTTGGAGGCTCTGGATGCGGGTTGAATGATTGCTAATTTCTAAATTAGTATGTACTATGTATGTTTTTTATTATGTTTTAATTTTTATTATAATGGTGTTATTAATTGTAATTTTAATTATGTTATTTTCTTAAGTACCATTTGTTTTCTGTTATTATGTTTTTTGGATTTGAATCTTTATTTAAAATATTGTGTGATCTAAATGTTATTATATTTTTGTTATCAAATTAATTGTTTTGATTGTTGTTGTATAAGGATGTTTTTACTTGGACTGTAATTTGTTTCAGATCAGATCAGACCGGATTAGACCAAACTTGGGTGGTTATAAAAATACAAAGAAATCAGACCAGGCCACATCAATTCAGACCAGACCAAATCAGACCAGATCAACAAATTTCAATCCAACTAAAACTTTCTAATTTGTTGTTTTAAAAATGGGTCAAAACTATAATACCAAAACTTTGGGTCACATTTGAAAGAAACAAAAACACAAAAAAAGGATAGTGCAAGAAATGGCGTACGCCATATATAGCGCAAACCATTCACCCCTCCCCCATTTTTGCCTAAGGCCATCTCCAACAGTTTACACCATTTTTTACACTAAAATGGTGTAAACATCACATCAAACAGTATTTTATCTCCAACATTTTACACTATTTTCATCACCAAAAAGGAATATTCTCTTTTTATTCTTTTTACTAACTTTTTACCATTCTTCTATTTAAGTATCTAATTATCATATATTTATACATTAGCCTCACATTTAATATTTTGACATTTCACACATGCAAAATAAAATACACCATTTTAATATGTATTTTCACGCATTTCACTAATTAAAATACAATAATCAATATTTCACTAATTATAATGGTGTTATTAATTGTAATTTTAATTATGTTATTTTCTTAAGTATCATTTGTATTCTGTTATTATGTTGTTTCGATTTGAAACATTATTTATAATATTGTGCGATTTGAATTTTATTATATTTTTGTTATTTCTATTAAATTAATAATTTTAATTTGTTGTTCTATATAGATGTTTTTACTTGGATTGTAATTTGTCTCAGATCAGATCAAACCGGATTAGGCCAGACTTGGATAGTTATAAAAATACAAAGAAATCAGACCAGACCAAATCAGTTCAGAACAAACCAGACTAAATCCGACCAGATCAGACCAACAAATTTTAGTCCAAGTAAAAACATCCTAATTTGTTGTTTTAAAAATGGGTCAATACTATAATAATCAAAACTTTGGATCACATTTGAAATAAAAAAAAATAGAAAAAGAAGATGGTGTTGGATTTGGTGTACACCACATATATGGCGTAAAGCCAAAGGCACTCCACCAAAATGGTGAAATGGTGTTGAAGATGGTGTGGCTATTGGAGCATTTTTTTGCCAAATGCACCATTTTGGTGTAAAAATTGGTGCTCGTTGGAGATGGCCTTATGCGCATATATACCAATTTGTTAAATACAATTATACAGTAGAGAAAGGATGGTAATTTACCTTTTGCTCTTGAATCCTCCATTTCTATTTCAATTCTTTACAGCCTAAAGAAGGCATTGCCTAGCTGGCTCACAACCATGCAGGCTGAAATTAAATTCTCCGTGTCACTGTATCAACGCGAGGAATGTACAAGTAATATACTATCGTATCAGTGAATGAAGCTATTAATTCAATATTTACCCTCAAAGATTTTATTGACCGGTAAAAAATGATTTTTCTTTGGTTGTCTACAAATGATATACGAAGTATATATAATATGTTCAGATATCATAAAAGATAGAGTAAACTCCTAAATATAAGTAAATAAAAGCTAAATTACAAGAATAAGAGTATATGTTTTAAATTCATAAAATATGAGCAACTCCTTTATACTACGTACAAAATAACACGTTTCCCATAAAAATGTCGTACATATATACACAACTAGAGCGTACAAATGGTACATTCGAAACACGTGCAGACACAAAATGGTCCTTTTTACCAGTGCAAAGAAGCTTTGGAAATTGGAAATCGCAGGTCTTGTGAATGAAGATGAATTTTGACCAAATTAAAGACATTTTCGAATTAAATTATTTAAAATGTGAAGAGCGCATGAGTTTTTTAAACTTTTGTTTATACGTTTATAAAAATATAAATTGTACAGAGTATACATTTACACAAATATAATAATTAATATTATTATCCAAAGTTTAACTCATTCACTAAAAAATAGCCAAAAATATTGAGAACTTTTATGAGAGGAAAGTATTAAATAAAAAGAGATCAAAACAAAAAAAAAAAACTCCGATTACGATGTACGTTGTTACGGTACCGAGCTAGGTGTTGGTAGGAAAAAAGCTAAGCTCATTATCCCAACGCTTAAAAATGTTTGTAGGAGAGATGATGGCGGCATAATAAATAGTCCCTCGATCTCAATTTACTTAGCCATTTTTGACTTTTCTAATCAAATTTGGTAAATTTTGATCAATTATTTAAACTAGTATATTTATGTAAAATTCAAAAAAATTATACTTTTATGATAATATTTTTAA